AGAGGAAAGATGGCAGCTGCATATTTGCTGTTGTCATCTTTCTAAACATATTTAGAAACCAAAAAAGAAAGTAAAATGAAAAACGAAATTTGTAGATGTTTAGCGCTATTCAGTGACAAGATTCCAAATTTTAACCATGCACAGTCTGTGAAAATCATAATTTTTTAGTGCAAAACTTTTTTTCTTTCAACTTCGCACTAATTTCTTTTCCAAAACTTTAAAGAACCAGGTAAATAGTAAATTTGTATATGTGATTCATGTAGTGTAGTACTAAATCCAAAGTAACATCTAAACTATTATTGTTTTTACATGAGAACAGCAAAACAAAACTGTTAACTGGAGTTTTGTGGTAAACAACAGTACCCTTTACAATTACCACTGTTTTTTCATATAAAAGTTTTAAATCAAACTTCTTTTCAGTTTTTTTTGTTTATACACTACACAAAGGTTTAGCAAGAGATTATTTTGGAACGAACAGCTGCAGTTAGAATAGGGCTGAAAAATGAAATATGTATGACAACCTAAGCGTTCCGTTTTTAACTTTAGTTATTCTGTTTTTTTTGCTAAAAAATATCTTTTCTTCTGAGTTTTTACTTTTCTTCTTATCTTTATATTAGCTAGTATTTTAAAATTTTTGAAACTAATGTAGTCTTAGCTTTACACCTTGCAGAAAAATCGATGTAAACAACAGTCGAAGATTTTTGCCAAAATGCATTTAGTAATGTTCTTGTGTCTACAAGTTTTTTATCATTTCAACATTATTTTTTTAAATTATCTTATTTTAGCAAACCTCCATGTGTTGAGCGCAAGCCAAAAATGAAGTGCTTTTGCCGCAACAGAAACCTTCTTCAACGAAGATTAGGATTTCGACGAAGGCCAAGGCCATTGAGAATTTATGAAGTGATAATGTAATGAGTTAGTAAATCTGTTTGGTTATACATCACGAATCCATGACAAACTCTTGTTATTCGACTATCTACTGGAAAATTCGATACATTTTACAGAGCCATTTATTCAGATACCATCTGAAAAGCGCCAAATAGTTTCTCTAAAAAAGATTTTTCAATTTATCATTAGCTATTTTATTTTCTGTTAGCAAGTCAAATCGCTTGCTTTTATAGTACATTTCTAAGTTCCTTCAATAAGAAAATAAAATTATTTTTAAATTAATAAAAAATGGCTGTTTAAAGTCATATTTTACATTCCTCATATTATTAAAACATAGTAAGATTTCAAGCCGCTTGTAAAACATTCCTCTTGTTTACCTTTTTTTTTCATTGTCTCTTACTTACAAAACTGATCAACAGAGAAAAACGGTTGTTAATATTATCTCAGATATTTCATAGCTTGTAGTATTGTATTTTAGTCTATTTGTTAGTGTACCTAGTTTATCGTTAAAATAAAATTATCTAAACTACAAATCTGCATTCTTCATTGCATAATCTAGTAATCTTGTTATTCGACGATCTACTGGAAAATTCGATACATTTTGCAAAGCCATTTATTCAGATACCATCTGAAAAGCGCCAAATAGTTTTTCTGAAAAAGATTTTTCGATACAACACTCAACACTCCTAAAAATCAAAAATTCCTTATATAAAGTGCTGTCTCTTCAAAAGTAGAAAATGGTAAAATTGCAGCTGTTGTAATAGAACAACAGTTTTGAAATTTTTGGCTTGTAGCAAAGTTCAAATTGCAATTCTACTACGAAACAGGAGTGCTAAAAAATTGTAATCTCAGTAGTCTTTGTTTTCAGACGGAAAACTAGGTTCTAAAACTTTGTCGTAGATGACTGAGCAGCTATAAGACAGTTTGCGGTAGAATTTGCTTCTTACTTGTTGACTATTATCGAAATCAAGTTTTGAACAATGAAGACTAGTTGATCGAAGGTGAAGTAGGACAAACGAGTTGAAATAGTCGTTAATCAAAAATGCTATCAAAATTATAAAATAAAGATTCTAGTGATTAAATAACCAATTTTGCTATGTGCTAGCAAAAAATCAAGTAAAAGTTATAAAATAAGGTTGACGAGCAGATGCACACAAGTGGTAAAAAATTTCACTTCTAATGTATCTTTGATTTCCTCAGTTCATAAAGGAAAAATGACGCTTTTCCAAGTTGTGCTAAAATATGGAAGAACAGTCATTGTTATTGTAACGGTGTGTACTCATCGTTGATCAAGATTTTGGCAGTGCTGTGTAATAGATAGTTCAAGTATTTTTAAACGAGCTTGTTGAAAGAAATTTTTCAAATATTGATGTTTCAGATTTAATGATTGAAGTGTTATCAGAAGTAAAAAAACATCGGTAAAATGCTTCTTAATTTTTTGATAATTCAAGAAGCATTTTTGAATGTCGTCTTTTATGTTATTCACTGATGCAAATTTTGTTTTCTTGATATACCGCGTAATTGAAAAGAAATATTTCAAAAAAAAAGTGATGCTAGGTTTCTGTAACTTCATTAAAAGAATGACTGCACATTTCACTTTCTATGCAGTTGTGCATACAATGTTTTTTTCTGGATTCTGCTCAGTGACGATCCTGATGCTGCTGCCGCTGCTGATGGTGCATATAAACTTCCTTTCTTTGGGCACAGGAATCTGGAGAAGCAAAAACGGGAAGACTTCGTTTCAGACGACTAACAACAAAACTTATTCGGTCTTCTTTTGAAATCAGCAATGTAAGCAACTGATTCTGATGTTTACTGCTTAATGGTTTTAAATTTTACTCTCATAGCAAACTCTTAAAACTGGTTTTTGAAAGCTTGAAGCTTCTGCACTACACAGTTTGTTGATCTTTATAGTCTTTTTTAAAACAACAATTACTGCGGAATGCACAGAGATACAGAAACAGAAGCAATTATACTGGGTATGTTTGACAAAAGTCTGAAATTTTGTTGATATAGTTTCGTTACAGCTTACTTCTAGTTTCTATTCTTTTAAGTCTTGACCAAAATAAGATGGAAAAAAACAAAAAAAAAAACAAAAAAGAAACTTGTTATTTACAACAATATTTTTCCTATACAATTTTTTTATAATTTTTTTGCTAAATATATGCAAAAATTTGAGCAAACAAAAATTTTCTTTTTTAGTTTTTTTTTTTTTTTT